CGGTGTAAAGCTCTTACAGAGTTTGCTTTCATTTTATCTTTTATTTATCACATTATTTGTTTTAATAAATTTCTAAATTAATATTTTTTTTCAATCACAACAGGTCCCCTTACACAGATCTTTAGCCGTTATAATTATATTATAACGTTTCCGGGATGGACCGCTGGGCGGCGATCTGGTTTTTCAGGGATTTTTTTCCCTGAGAGGTTTTATAACAATTTTTAAAGAGAATTTTTGGGGTTAGAACATTTTTAAACAATATAAATAGACTATTTTGACCAGTAATAAAAACATGAGCATGAAACAATTAAATAAACAAGTGTGTAGAAATTAGTGAACGTTAATCGATAATTATTCAGATATCGTGAGATGCGGTCTGGTGTGATGTAGGTTTCAGAAAAACATTTTCTTTATCGTGCCAACGTTTCGATCTTTATTGAGATCATATTCAGGGCCTGGGATTTACAAACACTGTCTACATTTAACAAATAGATTTAAGAAGTGGAAAAGTGAATTTATACAATGCAAAATATATTCTATATTCAATCAAAGTATTTCTACTCACTCAAAGTGTTTGTCTTCTGTGTAATTGTGCCATTCTTGCGTGTCGTGTCGAGAGTGCCAGTGAGAGCCTTCCTTCCCCGCCCCTTCAAAATCCAATATATATAAACATGAAACAGCAAAATCTCACTGGCACTCTCACACGCAAGAATGGCACAATTACACAGAAGACAAACACTTTGAGTGAGTAGAAATACTTTGGTTGAATATAGAATATATTTTGCATTGTATAAATTCACTTTTCCACTTCCTAAATGTATTTGTTAAATGTAAACTATGTTTTTAAATCCCAGGCTCTGAAGATGATCTCAATAAAGATTGAAACGTTGGCACGATAAAGAAAATGTTTTTCTGAAACCTACATCACACCAGACCGATATCTGAATAATTAAATAAACAAAATTGTTAAATAGATCTTACTAGTATAAATAAACCCGTTAGACTATATACCTTTATAAACCTAAACAAACATTTCATATAAATTATTTAAATTTATACATTATAACTTAGACTAGATATTTCATATAAGTAATTCAATTTTATATTCATATAAACATGAGAATAACGAAAACAAAATAAATAACTTAATTTACTAAAACATGCTAGCTTAAATAACCTTAACGGACTATATACATTTATAACTTTAAATATAAATTCTCAAATATATAATTTAACTATGTACATATATAACATAAAAACAAGATATTTCATTTAAATAATTTGATTATATACACATACAGTTATTAATAAAATGAATATATTGACTAGGGAATTAACATAGTGATCATAAAAACATATGAATAACAAACTTAACTACTTAATACTACCAGTTTGAACACATGATTAAACCATATGCATTTATTTTAAACTACCACTTTAAATAAATAATTTAACTATACACATTCATAATGATCAATATCAGTTCAAGTAAATAGTTCAATAAGAGTAATTAAATTTGTACATTGAAGTTGTTTATTAGCATACATAAAATTAAAAGCCCTTGTGGGAATTTTTTATTATCGATGATTTTTCATTTTGATTTTGTGAACTGTGTTTTTTTTTTGTTTTTTTCATAGACATACTTTATAAGATTTATAAACTCTTTATAATTGTGTTTGTTCTTTGTCAGTTCTACCAATTTACTTTCATCATTTATTTTTGTTTTTATTTCCATTTCTTGTATTCTTCTTTTATGTTTATAGATTTCGCATTTCGTCACAATATGTTCAGCACTTTCTATTTCCCCACATTGGCATAAATTGGTGTTTTTTAACTTGTAATTATATAAATATTTATTAAATTCTCCATGCCCTGTTAAAAACTGGGTAGTAATATAATTTGGTCGAATAAAATTCCCGTTTTTGATTCTTGATTTAATGCATGGCAAGAATTTATAAGTAGTTCGCCCTTTTATGCTTGCACTCCATCTTGCTTTCCATTTTGTTATAATTTCGTTTTCTAATTCTTTAATTATTGCGTGTTGTTTTCCTTAATTTGTGAATCTATTCTTTTAAGGAGTTCTAAGTCAATTGGTATCTGCCCTGTTATAACTTGAAGTGCGTATGTTGACGTAGTTCGATACCCTTTACATAGCCATTTTAGTGCACCTCTTTGTATAGTTAATAATTTATTGACTCGGGTTAATTTTGTAGCCCAAGCTGGTGCTGCATAACACAGTATTGAAAGGTTTACAACTTTATATAATATTTTTGTGCTTTCAAATTTTAGCCCCCGAGTAGCTTTTGCTAAGTTAGCCAGGTAATTTTGTTTTCTTTCTATTTTTTTCCGGATGTTTTCAATATGTGTGTCGGTCAATAAGCGGTGTCGCAATAATACCGCTTATACTCTCCACTACGATTTATTAGTGTCATCTATCTGAAACTTCACAGTTGGAGCTGTGTAGTTCTGCAAATATGCATATTAAAAAATTAAACCGCATAAAATAAGCTCTCCAGATTAAAAAAGAACAACGTTCGTACAACATCGTGTCTAAACATATCAATTCTTGCTGAGTAAATCAACAACTGATGCTGGAAAATGTGCAAATATTTTCAAAATTGGTAAGTAAATGGGGTAATATAACTAGGAAAAATTTTGAATACCTGCCCTGGAATATTTTAGGTCTATATCTAACAGCTTTACAGAGTACGTATGAAGTCACATTTCTGTTTGAAAAATATCAGCAGGGTCCTTTTGTACAAGCGTTAAGCAATTACTATCGTTCCCGTATTTCAAAATTGTGAAAAACCATCCAAATGGAAGTACGTAGACTCAGCAGAACACAAATCTATTGTTGTTTATTGAATGTAATGGCCAATTTTTATATTTTACACTTTTCAGCCATTTTCCAATGGTGGATGATCGTGATCGACCATACTATCGAAAAATCTGACATTTCGGCAAGGCTTGAATCACGTACGTACACTTTTTGTAAAAGCTTTACGTACTTACTTCCGGACACGTACTTCATAATTGTGAAAAGCTATCTGACAGGAAGTAGGAGGCTAAACATCAAGTTTAAATCTTATTCATTAATTCAGGAATTGCCCGTTGTGATTGCTTAATTGCTCGTAAGGAATTTTATGAAGGACATTTACGACTTAGTTAATCTTTGGTAGATGTTTTCCAGTAGATGGCAAGACCAAGTGCAGAAGCCGAATAAAAGTTAGACAGCCAGACGTGAACTTTCCGGATCGACGCTACAACAAAACAATCTGGCGAGCTTTGAATCCTGTGACTTTTGAACATGCTCTAAGTTGTTACCAGTCACGTACTTCAGAATTATGAAAAACTAGCTGACTGGAAAAACTTAGTTTGTAAAACATCAGCTCCAAATATTATTCCATATATTCAGAAGTTTCTCGTTGTCACTGCTTATTTTAAGGATGTGTATTGAGGCCAATTCTATATTTAATCTTTGACTAGTTAGAACTGTTTTGGAATATAGATGACATGACCATAAGAAGAAGAAAATAGAAAGACGAGAATGATCGAGATCGACCATACGATCAAACTATCGGAGACTTCGTCAGGTTTGCACCCTGTGACTTTTGTACGAGCTTTTAGTACTTACTACCGGACACGTACTTCAGAAATGTGATGTCCCGCCAAGGACCAGATTGTTAATTACATAGTCCTGCCATAAGTTCTGTTACAAGAAAAAGGGCCATTAGGGAATAGAGAAACTTGATAATTTGAAAAAGAAATTTATTTTAAAAAATCCAATATTTTTTAAGATTGAAATAAAATAATATTACTCGAAATGACCACCTTTTGCCTTCACACAAGCTTTTAGTCTTCGGGGCCGATCATCTATGGCAGTACGCAACACGTCTTGAGGAAATTTCTCAACTGCTTTTGGCAGAGCGGACTTGAGGCTCTCTAAATTGGCGTGTTTCCCCGTGGCAAGCCATAAGCTCAAGATGGGACCACACCTTGTAGTCCAGAGGATTCAAATCCCCACTTGGTGTGGTGGGGAGTTTGCTACGATGGCACCACAAAACTCCATTTTTGTGAGCAAGGAGTCAAAACAAGGGCGAAAAATTACGAAGAAGACATCCTTGAGAAAGTAGTAAAGCCCTTCAGTACTACTCTTTTTTCCGGAACTCATTGGGTCTTACAGGACTCAGCTCCTGCGCACAAGGCCCGAATAACTCAGCAGTGGCTGGAGAAGAATGTTCCGGAATTCATTAACACTTCAAATTGGCCCTCGGGAAGCCCACATTTGAATCCTCTGGACTACAATGTGTGGTCCCATCTTGAGCTTATGGCTTGCCACAGGAAACACTCCAATTTAGAGAGCTTGAGGTCCGCTCTGCTAAAAGCAGTTGAGAAATTTCCTCAAGACGTGTTGCGTACTGCCATAGATGATCGGCCCCGAAGACTAAAAGCTTGTGTGAAGGCAAAAGGTGGTCATTTCGAGTAATATTATTTTATTTCAATCTTAAAAAATATTGGATTTTTTAAAATAAATTTCTTTTTCAAATTATCAAGTTTCTCTATTCCCTAATGGCCCTTTTTCTTGTAACAGAACTTATGGCAGGACTAGGTATACTAAAATGGGATTTTACTTAAAACAGAGCGCTGATTGAACATATTGTGGTCAAAGATGGTTGAAGTAACTTCTAACTAAACCTCCAAAAGCTGAAGCCACAAAAACCTCCATGATAGACAAGTTTCTTGCCAATAGAAGAAAGAACCAGATGTGAAGGAACTGCCCAATATTGAAAGACTGTTCAATTATTCATTCTTGCAAAGAGATTTTGAAGGCAGATTTTATCCAATCTAAAAATTAATCTATGCTCTATACAATGTCTAATCTCACAAAATAATTTAATAAGACAGCAAAAAAACAATCATCTAGTTTCAGTTTTGACTTTTTGAACTTGAATTAAATTAGCACTGTCATGAATTTTTTAAATACAATAAACATAAATGTCCAAGGGCGTATTAAATTTCAGATGTATTTGCTATTGTTATCGGTTTTTGAGTTGATTATGCACAATTAACACTTGTAGACGGCATTGTAGATTCATTTTCCAGCTTTTTCAATCTTTCTTCATAATTTCTTTTATTTCTTTTCATGATATCCAAACAAGGACCTAAGAGCCTCTCGAAAACTTCTGTCTCTAGAAAGACGGTGGTCACTGGCTCGACTGCGTAGACGCTGGCAGAACGCCTCTGATGATTGATCAACGCCAGTTCGCCGAAATAGTCACCCCTTCCGAGTTTGCACACTTCGACATTTTGCTTTTTGCTATTTGTAACTATCACTTTGACAACACCTGATTCGATGAAGTACATGCCGTCTGGATAATCGTTCTGCTTTATTATGCAATCATTCTTTTTGAAAGACTTTTTCTGAAGAGCGTCAGCGAGGTTGAGCCTCTCGTCGGGCGACAGGTCACTCAAGAGCGGAACAGACGCGATCAACTCGACATACCGTTTACGTTTCTTCATTGCGTTTGTCGCGATAATTTGTCTAAAATGATTCCGGGCGATAGCCCAAAGTTTACCGCTCGAAGTGCACTTCACGGTCGCCGAACGGGGCAGATCGTATAGCAACGCCAGCTCGCCGAAACTGCCTTCGTTCTTGTAAGTTTTTACCAATTCAGCTACCCCGTCTTTGTTTTTAACATAGGCCTTATATTCACCGGAATCGACGATAAAGAAATAATCTCCGATTTCGCCTTGGCAAATGATGCATTTCCCCGCTTCGACGTTTTTCGGTAGCATGGCGTTCACCAACTGTTCGATATCTCTTTTGTCGAGCTGTTGGAAAAAGACTATTTTATTAAGGGCTTTCATCAGCTTCAACTTTTCCTCCGGCGTTTTCTCGTATTTCGCGAAATTTATAATTTCCGATTCGTCATCCTCTTTTATTGACTCGTTGAAGACTGGAGCCCTCCGTACGTTCGTCGCATGAGCAAATCCTTTCCCTTCTCGAGCCAACTGTAAGTTTTGCTGGTTTTTCAAATCCTCGAAATAATCAACGCTAAATTTCAACACGTCGTCTGGCAGCGTCTGATAAAATTTAACGGAAAACCTGACGAGGAATTTGCGAAATGATGGAGCGATCGCGTACTTCTCGTCTTCTTTTGTCCATACTGGACGATTGCACATGTCAAACGATGTCATAGTTTGTACAAGAACTGGCGGGAACAAAGGGATCGAATAGATTGCAAAATATATCTTACGAAAATTATCGCATACCAGTAGGAAATTATCATCTTTTTAAAACTATGGACAGTTATTCAAGCTTGTATAATGTAATTAACACTAGAAAAACCGAAAAATTTAACCATGTATTTAACCAAAAAGAAAATCCTAAATAAACATTTTTTACACAATGAAGTGTTACCATATGTTCTTTTACATGGCGCTTTTTTTATACAATCTTGATACATATTTAGTACAAGCAAGTACCATTTTTAAATTTATTTTTTCGTAATCCTAAAAATAAAAGATGACGTACAATTGTTACATATGTGCCCTTTAACGTAGAAAAGACGTTTAAAAGTCCAATGAGTTCCAGTTAGCGCAAAATAAATACATTTTATTAAATCCCTTAATCGGAGCTTTATATGGTTTAAAAAACTCGTATTAAGTGTTGGTCTGACAAACCAGCAACCCCTTAAACACGCTCTGCTGCCAAATTTAATAATTAACCAATCAACAGGACCTTTTTTTTAAATTATTATTGGCCTTATGATCTTGCATATTAGCCACGGTACGAATTCTTGTGTATTCAAATTGGGGGTTATCGGGAAAAAAGGGCCAGAGGCGACGGTGGGAATCGAACTCACGACCGTGGCGTGAGAGTCTCTCATGCTAACCACTCGGCTACCGCGGCAACAGGACCTTCACCAGAATAAAATGCAATATAAATATTGAGAGGTTTTCTGCTTGCCTTCCTATTGTCATCACATCACATATCTACCCGCACTTCTGAGACCATGGGTGCCCTCCTGTTGTAGGGGGTTCTCCTACGAGGATGTTCTACCGCGTGACAAGAGTCAATCGTGTAGTTTTCGGGTATAAAACCGATCCTTGCCGACGTCCCACAAGGAAGCAGTCTAGGTCCCATACTGTTCACTATTTGATCTGCCAATACATAAACACCACCTTGTAAACCGGTATCGGCTGGGTGAAAATCATAAGATCAAATTTGTTATATGAATGTTTGTATGGAAAGTTAAAAAAGAATGTAAAGCGTCAGATTGTTACGTCAGAAGATGGATCAATGTTATCGGGAAGAGCGTGTGCGGTCGGCTAGACAATCTAACCGTTTTTGACTCTACAATGATTTACAGTACTCCCCAAATTTACTAAATTGCCCATAGTTCTGAGCTTTCAGCCATTGAGTTGGTTTTTCAAGTTAAGATGCGAGTTGCTCTACCTTAACCACACTCCTTGGCGAGAACGTGGGGTTTCAATCTGTGCGTTGTGTAACCTCGGTGAGAGGGAGGATGCCGTCCATTTCTTGGCGGTGTGTCCTCTCTGACTGAATTTTGATTTCCTCACACGGGACACAGGAAGCTCAGCAGAACCCAGCTGATTAATTTTCTGAACGGAAAGAATTTCTTAACACTGATCACATACGCGTGGCAAGTTTTGAACTAATTGAGGAATTCAATTATGATTAATAGTTTTTTGCCTGTTTTTAACTTTTTTCTTCGTGAATTATTAAAGTTTCTACCTGTTAGTTTTCTATTTCATATTTCATTCTTATATTTTTGCTGATGTAGTGATGCAGTATAAACTTCCGTCAGACGGTATTTACCATGGTGTATAATGTTAATTTATTTGGTTTTGAATACATTTCTTTTTGTTGTTAAACAAACATTATTATTATTATTCAATTAATTAAGGTTTTTTAAGCGGGATTCGAATCCACGACCTTCGGCTAGATACGCCGCTACTCTAACCACTTGAGCTATCTTGACTTCGATCCACTCGGACACCAACTTCCCATCTCAACACCACCTTTTGAATTTGCCCTCCTTTTTGCCATTTTTCAGATGTCGTGTAATCTATTTGATTCTCGGCGACAAATGAAATGGCCACGGAGAGCTTTAGCGAAGAAGATATACTTCATTTTATCTTATTAAATTCACTAGTTTTCGTTTCGAAGTCACGATAGCTCATGTGGTAGAGTAGCGGCGTGGTGATGGTTACGGAAAACTGAAGGAAATAGAAGATGGAAAGGCTTAGACCAAAGTCTAGCAACAAACCTAAGAATTGCCTCCTCCCTGAAAAGTTCCGGAGGAAGGACAGCATCATTGCAGAGACTATAAAGGGCTTGTTCTAAATGCCCCTGTTGCAATCCTGATACCTTGGTAATAAATTCTATCTAGAGGTTTTAAAGTTGATATTCGCGCTGAAGAGTAACCTGCTGCTCCGTATCGAAACTTTGCACCTAAGTACATGCTGAATATTCTTAAAAGAATGTCTCTATTCGCTCCCCAATTGTAATTAGCGAGGAATCTCATCAGGCCTAGTATTTTCCTTCCTGAATTAGACAATTGGGCTATTTGAGGTTTCCGTCGAAGGGCTTTGTCGAAAGAAACGCCCAAATACTTGACAACGTCGACTTCCTTTATTTCAACGTCAGAAAGGAAAAGCGGAGGTGTTTCATGATGTTTTCTTAGACTACAAAAGTGTACAAATACCGTTTTGGACAAAGAGAATTTGAAACCCACATCGCTGCTTTTCGTGACAATGTGTCAATGGCGTTTTGTAAAGTCCTTCCCACGTTTTGGAGATTTTTTCCAGACAAGTAAAAGCAAAGATCATCGACATATAAAGGCCTGACTATATGATCATCTATATTATCAGCCAGACCGTTTACCGCAATGGCAAATAAAGTGACACTCAGAACCGAACCCTGAGGAATCCTGTTTTCTTGAATGAACGTACTAGATAAGGCGGTACCTAATCTCACCCGGAATCTCCTCATATCGAGGAAGCTTTTCTAAAATTTAGCTATATTCCCTCTTAAAGCCCAATCTCCAGGTCGTATCGTATGCTTTTTCCAGGTCGAAGAAGACAGCTAAAGCATGCTCTCTCTCCAAGAAAGTGTTCTAAATAGCACTTTCAAGGAGCGCTACATGATCTTCAGAGCAAAAGTGCTTTCTAAACCCAGCCTGGTATTGACTGTACAGACCTTTTTTCTCAATAAACCAATTTAACCTTTTGTTAATTATGGCTTCCAATGTCTTGCTGAAACATGATGTTAGAGAAATAGGTCTGTAATTTTCTGGGAGCTAGGATCTTTACCCGGCTTGGCAATGGGTATCACGACCGACTCCCTACAGTTTTCACGGTAATATCCCGCACCCCATATTTCGATAAATAACTCCAAAAGGTTTACTTTTCCTTCTGGAGATAGATTTTTAATCATGGAGTATGTGATTTCGTCAGAAGATTCTTTCACCGAACAAAGAACAAGATCCAGTTCAGCCTGGGTGAGGGGCGTGTTCCAAGCCTCTTCTTCATCAGTTGCAAAATTTAAATCGTATCTTTCTTCCTCCTCCTTTATCTGTCTGAAACGCTCCGAATACCAGCTGGAATTAGAAACAGATTCAAAATCACGAGCTATTCGCTCAGCAATTGGAAACATCAAAAATTTGAAATATTAGCACTTTACTTTAAATCACGTATGCTTTAGTAATAAAAGCTGAAATTGTTATAAAAAGGAACCATTCACAGAAATCCATGTTCGAACAGATAAATGACAATAAATTTATGTATCCATTAAAATATTCTTACAAATATAATGGTCGGTTTGTCCACGTTCAACAAACTGAAGTAACCAAACTAAAACAAAGCACCAATTGACCGTCATTATTTTTTCTAAATGCCTTTATTAGAGATAACACAATTTTTCGTTATTAGGCTTCGGAAGCATAACGCTTTTAGGATGGGAGCATGTCGGTTAAACTGCGCCGGGGATAATTTTGATAATTTCCCCCGAGCACGAAAATACTCCGCAGAGTGCGTGAGAGTGTGCTGCGGCAATTATCACAAATCCCACAAGTGCACCCACCTCTGGCGATATTAGTATGCAAATTGCTGTCGTATCACGCCCATCCCACTTACTCCTCCGCCCATCCCCCAATCATCTAATGAAACTCTGACCGCCGCAGTTACACCTTCCTTCATATTAAAACTGATATTTGGCTCGTATAGTGCTAATTTAAAAATCACACAACGTTAATTCTACGTCGGGTTTGTTTAAACAACTTTCAAGTGCAGCAGTTAAATGGGAAAATTGAAGAATAAATTCCAGACTATATTCTACAAGCAATGTAAATATTGTGTATGAATTTTATTCCATATTATTTAATCGCAAGGGTCATTTTTTTTGCAAATTCAATTCAATACAGAGAGACCATAGTATAGTTACATACTTAACCCACGCTTTTTAAATAATCAAAGTCCTGAAAAAAAGGTTTATAAACAGGGTACACCCGAAATCTCTGATTCACGACAGAATTTGTATACATTATAATATAATTTGTATAATAATATATCAATTGACATGGCGATCATGATTATATTCTATAAAGGATCAAAAATGCTTTCTTTACTTTTTACAAAAAAATTCTGATATTTTTACGAATATCCAACAAAAGGAAAAAATTTTGGGCCTTCCAGAAGTGCAGTCGAACAAGTTGGGTATACCGCTAGAAGCTAATGGAATAGGGAAATTTTAAAGGAATTTGCAAAGCTCCAGGAGTTTGTAGTAATTAACAGTTACCAATCTTTCAATTAATTAAGGTTTTTAGTTGAGATAAAAAAAGTCAGTGTCACGAGCGGGATTCGAACCGGCTAGATACGCCGCTGCTATATCAGTTGACATGGCGATCATGATTATATTCTATAAAGGATCAAAAATGCTTTCTTTACTTTGTACAAAAAAATTCTGGTATTTTTACGAATATCCAACAAAATGAAAAAATTGTGGGCCTTACAGAAGTGCAATCGAACAAGTTGGGTATACCGCTGGAAGCTAATGGAATAGGGAACTTTTAAAGGAATTTGCAAAGCTCCAGGAGTTTGTAGTAATTAATAGTTACCAATCCAACATTTTAAAAAAATCTTTAAATTAATTAAGGTTTTTAGTTGAGATAAAAAGTCAGTGTCACGAGCGGGATTCGAACCCAGGACCTTCGGCTAGATACGCCGCTGCTCTTCCACTTGAGCTATCATGACTTGATCCACTCGGACACACTAACTTCCCGTCTCAACCCCACCTTTGGAATTTTCCCTCCTTTTTGCCATTTTTCAAATGTCTTGTAATCTATTTGATTCTCGGCAAAAAAAGAAAGGGCCACGTAGAGCATAAGTGAAGTATAATTCATTTCTA